CTTCAATATATCATACTTATCAGTCCGAGCAGCGTTTATTTATTTAATGTAAAAGATAACAGTAATTGTAATTCTATGTAAATTAATGATTAATTACCCAATTCTTTCTTGCAAACAAAATTCAAGCGGCTTCCACATTGTCTATCATAAAACCCCACGGTGCTGAGATCTTCGTAGTTCGAAACGCAAACACAATTCTCGGTCTTAGTGCCAGTTGGTTGTGAAGCTGCTGTTCTCCATGCTAAGTAAGTTGCAGTGTCACCAAATACTGTTTTGTAGACGCCTTCTTTGATTTTATCGTTAATACCTACCCACATATAATGGCTGCAGGGCAAGAGAACAAAGAAAATAGGAATATGAACACTAAATGGTTGTTTTAACGACATTTTAGAGACAGTAAAAGATATGTAAGCAACCTAGTGTATTGAATCTTTTTTTAAATTATTAGTATTATTATTAATAGCAACGTACCCTATTCCCAGTGAGTTGAAATGACTAAATCCAATAAAATCTCTAACAGCGAGGCCTTCATCTAGATCGCTCAAGACAATTAAATTTCCAAGGTTTTCTTGGATGCAGTAATCTACTGCCTCCTCCCATGGCAACGCCTGGACAACCACTGTGTATGATGATCCTTCGTATTCAAACGTATTCTGTGGGGTGTCAACTGCAAGACAGTGGAACATGTATAGACAAATCTTAAAGTAAACAATGTTTCCTAAAATCATCTCAGCTGTTACGGCAAATAGATCTTTCCATTTTAGCCGGCACAGGCTTTTATTAATCTGTACAATGGTTTTCTTTCAGTTGACGAGTTTTACTAACTTACAATGTTTGTCTAATAATGTAAGAACAGGATTTTTTGTTCGATTTAAAAAAATATGCACAACGAGACTGAACAGTTTGAGTTTCAACGAAAGCATGATGCTTGATAGCAGATACACTTTATAATAAAAGAAAAAAGGTAAGTGACCACTTACTAAGTAACAATTTGCAAATAAAACTGAGCCTATCATCACAAATATCATCATAAATTCCGACTTCTCCCGAAACGTAACTTGCCGAGAGGCTACAACAATTTTCAGTTGTCTTCCCAGTTGGCTGTGAAAATTCTGCTGCCCATGGTAGATACGTAGCTATATCGCCTTCAATCGTCATGTAAACGCCCTCGGTGGTGCTATCGTGAATACCTACCCACATACGACTACTGTTGGGATGAAAACAATATACGAATATTTAATGATATGCATGTATCATATCCATGATGAAAATGAAACCAAATACGTGTGCAAAAATGAGCAATAATGTTACTGACAAGTACTTTATTTTTGCAGAAGGGATGGATTAGTGAAAACAAATTCCAGTGAAAATACCCCTTTTCCTATATTTTAAATTTAACGCATCGTCAATCAAAGAAAATAAACTTCATACAAAACAGCCAAAGTGTCTTTTCAGCGAAAATGAATTCCAGATAAAATAAAGTATTTTACCATATACCTTATGTTCAGGTGATTTGCATTGTCATAGTCGACAAAGTCTATACACTTGGTGGCTTCCATTTCGTAGTCAATGACATAAAGTTGACCAATATTATTCTCATTACAATAGTTGCGTGCTTCAATCCAAGAAAGTCTTTCGTTAATTATAGTATGTTGATATCCGCCGTATTGAAAAGAGTTTAAAACTGAAATACAAAATCCATTGTGCGGTTCAATATCACTCCCAGTTCAAATTCAGTCCATCCATCATATGAAGAAATAACAGACAATAGCGTACAAATTATACTAGTAAATACAGCAAATGGTTAATTGCAAAGCGTCCGAGTGAAACACTAAGACATGATAGAAACACAGATATGCAAATGACCATGGTAAACATTCTGTCCAAATACATTGTTTAAATGTGATAGTACTTACTAGATGGTTGTGCACGACATGCAGCCATGCACAGCAGCCATAAATAGATTGCATACATAGTGTGTGTCTTAAGCTGACTTATACTGCAGTCCTATATCAAAAGTAATACTATAAACGACGTTCTATATTGATTACATTGATTGTAATAATTTATTGATACGTCGTAAGTGCCTCACTGCAGACAAATATCGATTACATACCTAATGAGATGAATGACGTTATTGCCAAACAAAAAAGTCTAAGTGTCAATTTACCATCAGTTTGGTTAGTTTATCATAATTTATTATAGCAGAGTAAAATGAGATGTCCACACTTATAATGTTGCTATTAAGTAATTCATAATGGATGTAATTATGAATGGAATTCGTCAGTGAAATAAATCTGAACACTTTAGTTTTTGTTTTCTGTATAACTATTCGTCTACTTGAATATGTCACTTTGGAACGCACAATTTATCACAGACTAATCTAACGTGTATCGAGGGCGATCCATCGCCAATAAATGGCCAATCCTTTGCAAGTCAGGGGCCAATTTAACACGTATCAAGAGGCCAATTCAATGCCAGTCAAGGCGATTCCAATTCCAAATTCACAAGGTGATGTCGGATGAAATTACAATTATTTTCAATTACCGGTACTTGCGGTGTAGTCAGCTATGCACTCGAGAAGATAGTGTTGATGTATGCTACTGAGCTAATTAATACACCTCAGGTATGCAAATAATAACGTAAATCAATACCCCTCAGGTGTATGAATAATAACCAAAAATGTGTTGCTTGATCAAATTATAGGAGGTAATGTAGTGATGGCACTGTTGAATTATAATGGAGGATAGGAGGTAGAGTAGTTGTTCTAACATTTTGTGGTTAAGAGTCACATAACTAGTAAATTCTACCCTTGTTGTCAGTCATAAACATTGTTATCGTTTTTAGCCATACGTTTTCTTACCAAGTATTTGACGGCGCTGTTAAGCTCTGATCGAACTGAATTAAACTCTATGGCAGATCTCGGCTCTCGTTCAGCCCAGACCGAGTAAACATTTAGAAGATTATTGTTTGGCGGAGCAGCAGTTAGGCTCTGCTAGAATGTACCATGTAAATGTAGCAATTGCAGCCAATCAGGTCACAACTTGCACATTTTTAATCTTTCACACAAATGATATCAACAAAGAGAAAAAACAGCTCATTTATAAATATCAAATATCTTGTTATTGCAACTATGTAAAAATATCCATTAATATTTACAATGTAGAAAGAATTGTTCTGCATTTACATAATAAATCAGATTATTGAACCTGTCATATAAATTAAGTTATAAATAGCCTTTTAATTATTTGAATGTAATAACTACACATTATAATTTAATAACTGAGCACCAAGCAATATCACATATTTACATATCAGACAGAATATTGCATATTAAGTTATATTTATTTAGGCCAAACTATCAGTAATTGTGTGGTTTTAAATAACTCTACGTAGGTTTTAGATACTGGCAAACTGACAATAATGTATGTGTCTCTCCAGCATTGACATGTGACTATGTTGATAAGAACATCTGATGCAAATGGTACCCCCACCAAAAGTAATTACTATCAACAAATGATGAGTCATCACAAAATGAATGGGCAACCATTAAAATGCTATACCTACAATTTGCTGTAGCATTTTCTCTACTTCATTATTTATTGATGTTGAACGAAATAAACATAATTTCCCATTTTCTGAAGGTCTTGATATATTTTTACATATCAAAATTTCATCATCAATCAATGAAAGTAATCTAACTATGAAGATTTGTTAACAATGCAAAAATTCAATATAAAAGCTGAGTCACTACTGTCTACAAGCAGGCTACATTGATTTATCTGTCCCAAATTTTGAATGACAGATTACAAAAACCACACAATTTTTGTAGATGAATCAGGCAATTATTCACAGCAAAATAAATTACACATCTTCTCAATTATATTTACAATAAAAAAAATACTAAAAGCAACAAGCAGCCAAAATGTCTGAGTGTCTGAAAATTCTGCTCCCTTTGAGGATTTTTGTGACAAAATCAAAATAAAAGCACAATCTTTTACGACAATTTCAAAATCGTAAACAGCTTACAAAAAATATGTGTACTGAGGCATATGAAGTAGAAATAGAAACTAATTAAAATTAATTATAAATTCAAGAATAGTCTTAAATAAGAAGCCTGTCAACTAATATGTGTCTGCTCCTCGGATGCTCTATGTGAACACAATCTGGTCTACAGAATTGAAATGTACAATACTAATAAAAAGAAATTGTATACCTTTGGTCTGCAATTTGTGATTTATCTGAAAATAACCTGAATTATGCAAATTAGATAATCAAAAAGAATAGATTTCAAGTCTTCTCATTGTGCAGATGGGTAAGTTTTGTTTAAATCTGTTAAGTGGTTCTTGAGATATCAGTACATACATACATACATACAGACAGAGTAACTGCAAAGATTCTCACTGTGTAATACTGCTTGCACACTGGAGTCTAAAAAGTGGTCAAATTAGAATGCATCATCTGAAAGTTTCAATTCAGAGTAAGAACTGACTGTCCTGTATTCACTGCTGTCTAGATGACTGTCCTTTTTGTTTTCCTCTGTAGTGGGTGTGGATGTAACAGGTTGATAAGTTGCAATGCCTTTTGCGATGGTCTTAGGCATACGTACAGGTGACTTGGCAGAGAGGGATGGCATTGGTACGCTCGGCTGATATCCAGTACCAATATCACTAAGGTCAGACTCACTTCTGCTACTGCCAACGGATCGTTCTGATGTGGAAGATCTTTGTGAATGATATGAAGCACTAGATGATCTTTGACTTGATGAAAGCAATTCATGGCTTCTTTCAGATCCAGAAATCTCCTCTTGCGATTCTTCAAAATCCTCTGAATACCTTTCTGATTGGTTGTCTTTGACATCCCCATGCTCATCATTATCACTATCATGTGGGAATCCGGGTTGGTTTGGTCTGAACTCGTCATCGGACTGCTCTGATACAACAGAGCTGACATCAGTGAGTTGATCTGATGCATCAACCGACACTGATGGAATATGAACTTCAATACTTTTAGTACTTCGGTTACTGGAGCTACCACTCTGGCTTCTTTCAATTTCTTTGCCAACTGAAATTTGAAATGTTCAAATTTAAAAAAATTATCATCAAATATTTGGGGGGGGGCTTATATTTTCATTGAAAAATCCACCTACGCAGATTTTCAACACCAGCAGTTAGACCACCCAAAACAAAAGAAACTATTGCAGAAGCTAATCTAAAATTGTATACATTTTTTTCTAGCTGGATTAAAAAGTAGACCGCGCATCTAATTCTTTCTCCAAAAAAAATCACATTAATGAACCTTGTGTGTCAAATACAATTGTTTTTTTATTCATTTTATTAGTAACAAAAGTATATTCTAAATAAAAGAAGTTTCAAATAACAACGAACGCAACTGCATTGCAAATGATCGTGGTAGCGCAATCCGGTCATGCTGCGTTTTACAATTGTTGATTATTACCTAGCAATGATTATAATAACGTGCAAAAAATAAATTCGTTAAATTGTTATAAAATACAAATAAATTTTCACTTATTTCATCGTAAGCGAATGATTCTGATCGCATTTTCAACGCCCGATGCTGTAGAAATGAATATCCGCCATGTTTGACCTGAGATGGTGTTCTTTGACCTGACAGGTCAAATCGACAATTAACCAATGAAAACGATGGATGATGCCAACGTGTTCAAATTACCATAGAACATTTAAATATGTTAATGTTATTGAACTCAGCGCGGAAGAGATTTGTCGATGTTGTACGATCTTTTGGCTTGGAGTTTGATTGGAAAACAGCATGATTTGTTTTTAAATAAAAACATGAGTTGTTTTCAGAATATAAACTGAACATTTAAGGAATAATTTAACATTAATTACAGCAATAACAGCTCATTGTCGAAACAAAGCTAACCCATTCACGCTAGTCGTAATAAACATCAATACTCTTGAATAGGCATCAATGACTACAGCGAAACTTTTAGGCATCAAAAAAAATTAAAATAACACCTTAAAAAACTGCCGAAAACTCGCCCTGGGCAGTTTCTTGGTCCCATTTTATTTTTTTTAAAACCCGAACTGCCGTTAAACGGCCCTGGACGAATTTACGGCAGAATCCGGTATATGCATAAGACTGCGGCAAACCATGGTTACTAAGAATACCAGAATTTGTTAAACTATTTTGTTGATCTAAAATTATTACCCCCAATACAGTAAATAATTGAAAAATGAATATGATACAAGAATGACCAATACATAGATTTGTGAGTGAGAATTTCGCAAAACTTGGTAAAACAAAAATTGTTTTTTAAATAAATGACAAACACAGTGAATATTCAACTCATCAACATTTGAAATATTGTTTACTTTTAAGACACTACTTGATTTGGAAAAACAGAGAAACGGATATTTGACAATACATGGATTCTGCTTGGTTGTACACACGTGCAATACCTTTTCAGTCGGTTGTTACTATTATTTATAAGAAATGTGATGAGTGTGATTTTTGTGTACCTACCAGCCACAAGTTCTTTAAGATCTATATGTTCAACTCGTTCTGACTGTACTCCTGTTGTTTCTTTCTTCTCAGCAATCATTTCAACTGACATTCTCGGTGTGGGTACAGGTTTCCTCTTTGGTGACTGTGGTTGTTCCAAGTGTAAAGTTCTTGTTTTACCTTAAAAAAAGAAATCAAGTGTCATTAAATTTATATAGTAAACCATTCAGGTAAGTACTGTAAAATAATTTATTTTTAGCTGGAATTAATTTTCATTGAAAAGGCAGTTTTGAGTTGTTTATCTTCTCTGATTTTAGATGATTTGACTGTAAAATACAAGAAAAAAGTATTTTCACTGACACTTTTAGTGAAAATAAAGTACTTTACTGTAACACCAAATTCACTATTTGTGAAAAATTAAACAGAATTACACCATGTATATTTCATTGCTTTGCTTGCAGACCTTTCAATTTCCCCACACATCTAAAAGTACATACCAGTATATAGCATTATTGCATAGTCAAGGAATAATTCTTACCAAGTGGTAGGTTGTTATCTGCAATTGTTGGTTTGTTCACTGAACTGTCACCAGCATCACTGTACCATTCATTTTGTCTCACTTCCCGCTCTTCTAAATGTTTAAATAGTTCTGGATTATTTTTCTGTAATCTTAATCGTTGAGTGTTAGTCATTCCATACATAAGTTTTGTTTTTTTCATACCATACAGTGGTTCTTGTCTCAACCAACCAACATGTGGAGGAACCCTGCCAGGCAACTGTGCGCATTTCTTGTGTTTGTGACGTTCTCTGGGTGGCTGTTTTGGGGTAGCTAACTTAATACGAGACTTTACATTTTCTTTTCCTCTGGTAGGAGGTCTAACAAAACCGATAGGTGCAGGTTTCACAGGTGACACCTCCTGTGCAGATGATTGCACTACTTGTAAACGTGAAATTTCTTGCATTAACGCATTCAACAGTGGAAGAGTTTCTGGTGCTACAGCCTGGGGTTGTACTGGTTGTCGTGGCATGGAAGTCTGTCTTAAAGGTTTCTTTTTTTCACCCCATGCATGCCTAGTTTTTCTAACACTAGACACTGGTGGTGTTTGGGTTTCTTTATACTTGTAGTGAGATTCAATGACAGCGATACCAGAAATATCACTAACTACACTCTCAGTATCTGAAATGTCATCACCATCATACCACAAGGGGGTACTGGTCACATCTTTCAATGGATGTACTTTGGTTACCTCATCTGCTTCTTCTGCTTGTGAGTTAAAATACAATGGTGGGGGACAGATCATATCAGCTACATGAAACTCATCATCAGGAATGAACTGCACACGACGTGGAATCTTTGTTCGTTTTTCTGTTTGAGTCATGACAGGTTTTACTTCAGCTTTTATCTGTGACTGTTCATCAACCTTTGATATAACTAATGCTGTTCTCTGCATAGGTGTTTGGATATCTTCAAGTACAATGTCAGCAGCTGCTTTGACCTTCTCAGCTTCAGGACTAGCTGCTCTCTTTGCTGTAACACCTGCTCTCATGATAGCTTTATCAGGAATGTGTTGCATGAGACCAGGTCCAAGACTCAGTAATCTGTAACCCATTGTGATATAACCTATTTCTGATGACATAAGATTATACAGTTTGTATCTGCCTTTCTCACCCTGGACTGAGGGCACATTGATGCCAACTTTTTCGATGTCGCTGCAAATCTTCTTCATGGTCGTATTTAAAGGAATGGTACTGTTGCCAACTAACTTTGGTATACTTGGCCACATATCGATTAACATCATGTATAACGGTGTATTGTCAAGGTGAGCGCTAAGTGTATCAACGTCAATCTTAAACAGACAAGATTTGCCCTTGTTTACGTTGAAAATTCCCCACCTGTCTTTCAGTTCGCTGAGCTGGGGTGGCACTTCTATCGTCGGGTCCATGCTGAGTTTAGTCTTGATTGTTTGAGCCATGTCTGTTTCTATGTGATGTATAACCAGAGTTGGGAAATCCAGGAGTCTGAAAGCTATAGCTGGCAACCGACACGGGGTTGCTGATGACAACACACACACTTCCTCAACGACCACTTCCAACGAAAATAGCGTTTCGCTTTCCATTTTGCGATCGATCAAACTGGAAAGTATATTTAAACATATGCTCCGACCTTGTATAACGCTATATTTGAGCTATTGGTGGCAAAAAATATAAGAGAACAGTATTTTATCAAAAACAGCAACAGCGGCAATTTATGTTACTACAGACAATCCGCCATTTTGGTTTTCCCGCTGAGGAATCCCGCGATGAATTGTGGGTAACGGCGAGGCGCCATATCAGATAGACATGTATTTACTTTTCAGTACGCATTTATGCATTCATTTGTGTTGTTTGCGGGTTTTCAAATAAGCGGGAAAAGCGCAGCTGTATTCCCAAAGTAACTAACATGTATGGGCAAGTGCCACACGCCACTATTAAATATGGACATTAGAATCATAAGGCGACAAGGAGGATTCCAGAAAAAACAAACAAGCGTTCAAATTGACCTTTTGCCTTAAATGTTGATACTATTAGTAATGCATATACTACTAGTAATGTACAAGTAATCTTTGCTAAATGAACAATCTCAGTACTAAATCGCGAAAACAACGCACTGTATTCTCCAACCCATCCAGGTTCCAAATGGTCCACCCCTTAAAGTTAGTAGTTCTACGCAGCCGTGACTGAACGGGTGCAAGTAAACAAAATGGCGAACAGGAAGTTTGTAAATTAAGGTAATATTACAGTTGAGCGCTCTACTGTTAGGATATTAACAATCAGGGATATTCGTATATATTGAAAAACACAATCAAAGGGCAGGAGTTTGCAGGGTTTTGTTGTCGATGTATTCAATGGTAATTTCAGACTCTGTTTTCAGCGGGGCGTGTGGCGCAACGGATAACGCGTCTGACTACGGATCAGAAGATTCCAGGTTCGAATCCTGGCACGCTCGGAAGCCCCAATTTTTTTATTTGTAATTTTTATTTTGGATTAGCTCTATATTTATGATATCGGAAATAATTGTGCATGGTCAGTTGATGTCGTTTGTTTTTTCATTTGTTTGGTTGGACCAGGCGTGTATGTCTGTCACAAAAGTTTTGTATGTGTTTTCTGTTAATTAAATATTTCAATATTTAAACCACCATACAATTCTTTGTATATAACACATGTAAAGAATGTGTGCAACTTTGCATATCATCACTGAGCCAGAAATACGAGTGTATGTTCCATGTTGTACCGGTTAAAAAACTAAAGGGGTAAAATATTACTATGTCGGTAGGTAGGATTTTTATTATTTTATTTATAGTCGCTTTGTTACTACTAGAAAATTATCATGGTTTTCGATTAATAAAGATGTCAAAAATACTCCCAAATTGAGTCATGTTGAACTTTCTGGGCATCCACTTACAAAAAGTACAAATACCAGTTCGTTTCCGGTGATTTATTTGCATAAAATATAAATTAAATTTTGCCAATTTCTATTTCAGTTCTATTTCTATTTCAGAGTTGGAGCTTAAAGTTCTCTGACTGAAAATATATGCCCTGATATGTATATGCCAGAGAAAGGCTTTGTTTTGTACAAAACAGTTGTACTGCAGAAGGTATTCAAACAGATGAACAACGCTCAAGTGTCACGAGTGTATGATAATGACCGTGACCTCAGTGACCCTGAGTGAATGAAAATGAAACAGTAACAGTGACAGCGTTTACTACTAATAAAGAACTATGGTGCGGAAAGTGCTAAATCCAATTTATATATATATATATATAGAAACATTGGATATATTGATCAATATTGACGATTTGAATCTACGTTCCAATGTCAATGCAAGTTTCAAGAAAACCTGGATATATTGTTTATATCGTTAACGATTTAAATCCAAGTTACGTTGTCAATATCATTTTCAAGATTTAAATAAACGTCGTACTCTCAGTGTACTTGAAAATGGATGAAAATTAACGTTCATGCGACGTATTACCCCCAACTCCCTGACTTGTGATCCATGTATACTCATGCCTCTGATTGAAATCAACTACGTAATATAATAACAACCTTTATTGATATCGTACCCCCTCTGGGATCTAGATTAGAATACAATAAGGATTATAAGGAACATGCAAAACGCTGATAAATCCGATTTCAATCATCAATATTGACTTACAAGTGGATATACCCAGCGTAATCTGAATGACAAAATACGGCGTGGATTTAAAATGTACCATAATAACGATTTAAATTTCCGTAGTTGAAATGACAATAGCAGTTACTAAATGTGCACTACATCATATATATTGATGTATTTTGGGAGGGGTGTTACTCGACATTTTGAATAGGCGGGGGAGGGTGCTCACTATAGGGCGACACGGGTCACTGAATTTCTTTTGAATATTTTGGTAAATTATTCCACGACAGATGATAAATAATGACTGGTCTATTGTAGACTCCTTGTGGGATGGATAGAATTGGCAGAAACAATACTTACCACGACATGTAGCACCCAGTAACATGTTGTAGTTTGTACTGGGCTGTACTACACATGGATATAATAATAATAATAATAATAATAATAATAATAATAATAATAATAATAATAATAATAATAATAATAATAATAATAATAATAATAATAATAATAATAATAAACTTTATTGATATCGTATCCTTTATAGGATATTGAGTTAAATTACAATAAAGTGTGGATGAAAGAAAAAACAAGAAAGACATTAAGATAAAATAACATAAAAATGACGATAACAGAAAAAAAACCTTGCAGATATGCCTTGATGTTAATATTGTTGTTTATTTGGATGAGAATGAAGGCTTTTTCATGTTATTTTCTCTAATTTTGAAACATTCATATATGTGTTTAGCTAGTTTTATATATTTTTTATTTTCATTGTTTTCATCATAGCTATCATTTTTTCTTCATCTGTCGTGTTTGGGAGTGTTTAGTTGGTTTCTTTCATTTTCATATAATTTGCAGTTAAGAAAATGTATTCCATCTTCAATTTCGTCTAGGTCACACATAGGGCTTTTTCTTTTGCATGCATCTATTTTATTGTAGCGACTCATTTCTATTTGTAGAACATGAGCCCTAATTCTTAGTTTTTGTTAGTGCTGATCTATGTTCAGAGTCTTTTATTACTGAAAGATACTCATGTATTCATGTGGTTTTGTCCCTTTTCTCACAAAATTGTTTTTCCTTGTGGAAAGAATCGGTGTGCCTTTTCACTTATTCTGAATGTTTATCCAAATTGTTTATATGCTCTTAACTTACTTTCTCCATCTGTTTCAGAAATTTCCTGTAATTTATTCACACACAATTGTTTTTTTCGTTTTAAATACATTTCGCAGCCAACTTCCATGATATATTCAACATTTCTGGATCTATTGCGAATACCAAATACACCTACTGTAAAACACGTTGAAATAGCTACATGCAATTTTAGCAAATTTGACTTTATGCATGAATTTACAGAATCTTAATTTAGATAAATTGTTAACTATGGCATTGTGCGAATATGCTTTATTTTAATTTTAAATTAGTGACATCACGATTAGCGAAATTACAGATTAGCTAAATTAGCTAAAATAACATGCTAGCTAATTCAGTATTCAAAATGGCATATGATTTTAGAGTGCTGTAGTCCGGTTTGATTGTCCTTTCAAATTATATCACAAGAAAATCACAGTTTTTTCTTTCTATACAGCTTTTATATGAGACTGCATA